AGGTGGCTCTCAATGGGATGGATGGAGAGCTGGAAAGGAGATGGAGTGAGAAGGTGGTCATCCTGGAGTTCAGCCATCCAGTGGCCAATTTCCTCTCCAATTGCCCCCAGCCAAATTCCTCTTAATGTTCAGACTCTCCTCTCTTCTCTCTGCCACACCATTCTGCCAGTCTTCTGTTCTCTGTTCATCTCCTTTTCATCTGCTTCCAGAGCCTAGGGTCTGAGGTTTAAATGGGTAAAGGAGAGAGGGGTGTGGACAGCCAAAAGGCCACTTTTGAGTGTGAAAATAGGAATGCATGTTCTCATTTAGAGCCACAGGTTTCCAGGCTTGAGGGTGGGACCTTTGCCAGGGAACTGCCCTCTTCTACCAAGTATTTCCCTGTCTCCTAGCCATATCATCTCCCCTCTCTGAAGAGGCACATCTAACTATCATTAGAATATGGACAGTGACCAATTTAGCTAATTTTTGCTGACAGGGGGCATCATTTTGGGGAAAATGCAGTCAGATTCCTCCCAGAGATTTATCTAAGGGTCTTTGCAAAAGAGAGCCATTGTCTGAGGTTCCAGTTGCCTGACCATTTGGAGTTTGAGAGAAAACTTGCCTGACCATTTCCTAGATGAGAGAAAAAACAAGTTTTATAAGGTTGAGTATGCATGGGTTAAACATGTGCATTGTACAAGGAAATAATCTAGTGCCAAAGATCACAGAAATAACAAGTGAAAATACTAACAACATTGTGCTTCAAGCTGTTTCACCCTGGTGAAAGAAATTAAACCTGATATGGCAGTGGTTTAACTTTAGAAAAGATTTAATTGTTCTTGTCACATCTGTAGCAGTTAACATGTATACCCTGGGAATTCTGGAGTTTGTGGGCTTACATGGTGGCCATTAAAGCATCTGCCTCTTTCTTGTGTCCCCCATCTCTATTGTAAAAGGCCAAGGTAGTCACTTTCAATTAGTCCTCTAAAGTACTGTCTGGTCCCAGGGCCCATTTCAGCAACTTCCTCCTGATACTAGGGGCTGCCTGAGTAATAAATTCGTTCTTCAGAATTAGTTGTCCCTCAACAGAATCAGAAAATAGAGAGGTGTGCTTTAACAAGTCTCCTCTTACCTTCTCCAAGAAGGCAGTGGGATTTTCATTTAATTCCTAGTCTGTCATAGTTAGCTTGCTATCATTGAGAGGCTTGGTCCTAGTCCTACATAAGCCCTCCGTTATGCACACCTGAAAGCGTCTCCTCTTCCAGTCCCCCATCTCATCAATGGGATTCCATCCAGGGTCATTTACCGGTACTGCTTCTCTTCCAGTTGGATAAAGTTTGCCTCCTTTCCTGACACAGTGTGATAGAAAGCTCATCCCTAAATCTTCCTGCTACTTCCAGAACAGCCTGCTTTTCAGTGTTTATCGGGGTCTGATTCAAAAGTAACACAACTTCTCTCCAAGAGAGTTCAAATACTTGTGTTAAATTCTGGAAAGTCTCTATATATCTGTCAGGGTCATGTGAAAACTTGCCAAAATCATCCTTAATTTACTTTAAGTCCCGTAGGGAGAAGGGGACCTGGACCTTACTGGGGCCAAATTCACCAGGCATTTGTGGGAAGGGCAGGAGTAAAACTGGGGCTGGTCTAGGGTGAGGCTTTCTAGGAGCAGGCAAGCGAGAGACTGAAGCTAGATAGTGAGGTTGACGTGGACCCGGAAGAGCAGAGCTGGAGGGAACTGGCTCCTCTGTTGGGAGTGCCTCTGGGATTTGTTTCTTTAGTTCCCCGGGATTACCCTTTGCAGTCTCTCCTGAAATGACAAGTAGGAGGGCTGGATCAATCCTACACTGTTGGCAAAGGTCTGGATTTCCCTGCAAGGTATAGAAAGCCTGCACATATGGGGCTTCAGACCATTTGTCCTCGCGACTACAGAAAAGATCCAGCTGCCAAATGGTATCAAAATGAATGGTTCCTTCCTGAGGCCAAGACAGAAATAATTCGGCCAAATCTTTGTTCAGAGGGCTATGAGGTGTTTTTCCCCCAGATTCTGAGGGTCAAAGCAGTCTCAGTGTCTCGGGATGCACTCCAGAGGAGAATAAGCTGGGGGTGATGAAGGGAACTGGTTGCCCATTCTGAAAGACAGGGAAATAGAAGCATCCCTCATTTCCCTTCCTTCTTTCTGTGAAAAATCAGGATGTAAGGAAGAGGGAAAGCGAGAGACTTTCTCTTCCATCTTTTTGTCCCCAAGTCCGGGTAACCTTAGATGGATGCCACCCAAAGGTGCCATTGTGGTTTGCACCCGTGAAGCAAGGGTGCCTAGAGAATAGTAATTATCGGCCCTTTTTCTCTGTTATTGAAATGCCTTCATTTTCTCTGCTGTTGAAAACTTTTGAGTTCCCTGGGCCTCATTTATGCCATGGAGCATGGCCTCCCTCCACGAAATGGGGGGTTTAGTCGGCAGGAATTGGTCATGCCATTTACATTGTGCCTGTTCAGATTTTGATCCCTCAGATCGGGTTTTCCTTTCTAGGGCCTCAGTCTGAGACTTGGAATTGAGTTTGGGACAAAAATGCATTTCAGGGGTTGCATGTGTCTGTTTAGATTGTCTCAAATGGGCCCTGCCGAATTTGCAGTTATCAGCCAGCAGGGGTCGCTCCTCCATTATTTTCCCTATCAGAAGCTGCCTGCTGAGGACAGGAACCCTCTCACTTAGAAAAGGAAAAACAGAAAAGAAATTAAAAAAACAGCTTAAGGAGTAAAACGGGGGAGGCACTGGGGGAAATAACCTCTTGCTCTGCACAAATGGATTCCTTTAATCATTGTAGCCTTCCCCCAGAGCAGGCCAGGCTGAACTCCTTCGCCAAGGAAGAAAAAGTTCCACTGGGAGGCGCTGGCCAACTGGTTCATGGGGCCCCAGTGGCAGCCCCATTTTTTTTTCCCACCCCTTGTGGCTGTTGGACATGCTGTGGACACAGCCAGGTACCAAGCTGGGAAGGGAGGGGATGAGAAGGGGAGGTGCTGTGCACTTTAGTTATCAGAGTGGGGGTGGGGATGGCATTGCCGAGAAAAAAATGGAAACCACGTTGTTCTAAATCGCACCTGTGATGACTGAGCGAAATGCTCATTCTATTTAATACATTGCTTAATGCATACGAAGTTTCCATTTGGGGATATAAAAAAAATTCTGGAGATAGAAGATAATGATAGTTGCCCAAAAATATAAATGTACTAAATGCCACTGAAGCATACCCTTAAAAATAAGTAATGTGGTATATTTTATATTATATATATGACCACAATTAAAATAATCAAAAAGAAGAGAACAAAATGGAAAACAAGCATCTGTTATCTCAAAGTCTCAACTGCCATTATTCTCTTCTTAACAATTTCCACAACTACGCAATGCCAAGACCTGACCCACCCTTCTGATAGGTAAGACCTCTGGTAAGTCCCCACGGCTTTATTCATGCAATTGAATCTTGTACTACTATAATCTAGCTAGTGTCACCCAGAGAACCCAGTGTCATAGCCATCTCATTTGCACCTCTACAAGTTAGCCCCCCTGCTCCCTGACCTGGAGTGCTTTTCCTCTCAGCTTCATTCCTAAAAACACCTACCACCAATGCAAAGTCCATCTCATCCATAGATCATTCCCCAAATCTTCGTACTCACTCAATATAAGATCAAGGGAGGAGGCCAGGCACGTAGCCCATGCCTGTAGTCCCAGTACCTTGGGAGGCCGAGGCAAGTGGATCATGAGGTCAGGAGTTCAAGACCAGCCTGGCCAAGTTGGTGAAACCACATCTCTACTAAAAATACAAAATTAACTGGTACGGTGGCAGGCGCCTGTAATCCCAGCTACTTGGGAGGCTGACACAGGAGAATTGCTTGAACCCAGTGTGGCAGAGATTGCAGTGAGCCGAGATCGTGCCACTGCACTTCAGCTTGAGTGACAGAGTGAGACTCCATCTCAAAAAAGATCAGGGGAGGAAGAGTGGTCACTTCGGTACCTGGAAAGTCCAGGCCAAATCCAGGGTCTCGAGGCCTCTGCACTACACGGTGGTGGGAAGGTCACCTACATCCTGTGCTTCTGTCCTCCGCCATTAATAAAAATGAAGATAACCACACCTCCATATAGATGGCAAGATATTAAATATGACTTCTGTAAAATGGCAACCCAGTGCTCAGAGGCAATAGACTGTCGACTCATTTTAGCTCTCCTCCCTTTGAAAACCTTCTATAGTGGTGGTTCTGAATCTGCTCTGTGCATTAGAATCAACTGGGCAGCATTTACAAATTACAATGGCAGGAGCCCACCCCAGACAAATCAAGTCAGAAAGTCTAGCTGGAGCCAGGAGCTAGGGTTCTACAGGCAGGGAACACTAGAGATAACACCAGCAGTTCTTGCTGTCAGTCCCATGCAGTCCCACCCTGCTTACTCCGAATCCACAGTGTTGTCTGTTTCACTGTGAAACTCTTCCTCCCCTGATCTCTTTTTTTTTTCTTTTTTGAGAGGGAGTCTCGCTCTGTTACCCAGGCTGAAGTGCAGTAGCACAATCTCGGCCTACTGCAATCTCTGCCACATTGGATTCAAGCGATTCTCCTGTCTCAGCCTCCCGAGTAGCTGGGGTTACAGGCACCTGCCACTACACCGGCTCATCTCCTTGACAATTATTGCATGTAATAGGCATGAACTACATATGTATTTTACACATAGTCATACAAAATAAAAAGTAAAATGAAAATAGCAACTTTAATTAAAGGGCTCATCCCACTGATTCTAAGACCAGGGCATGGCAAGAGAGGAGCCAATGTAAGGCGATCTGTCTCAGGATCCTGCAAGGCCTAGCACTGTACCTGCCCCACCCTGAAATTCAGCACTTCCTTTAAAGTCATGCCCTAGGTGCTCCCTTGCCTATCCCCACTTCAGCCTCAGGATCCCACGGGCAGGTGGCAGCCACCAGTTAACTATGCACTGAAGGCCTCTGTGTGAATTCCAAACTGAATGCTAAGGGTTCACTTACTTGTGGAACTGGTTTAATAGGTTTTTCCATCAAGCCCCCAACATAAACAGTGTTGGGAAGCAGGGGCCGAGCAAAATCAAAGGCAAAGTCAGAGTTAACGAACCACAACTCTGCTTTCCGCAGAAGATGAGACAAAACCGGCCTAGAGCCTTCTGTGAAATGCTCCTTGATGGTGTTGTCAAATGTAGAGTGTAGGCACCGTTGCATCGTGGAGAAACGAAAGAACATGAAAACATTCTTCACTCGGCCCCAGAAGTCCATGCGATCAGTCAGCAAGGAATAGAATACTGGCACATAAGACAAAGGGCTTGGTAGCCCAAATTCCAGCGAGCCAAATGAGGCGGGAAGAATGGCCACAAATGGCTTCTCAAGCTTCTCAGCAATCAGGAAAGAACAGAAATCAAAGCCTTCAACAAATACCAGATCAACGTTCTCATTATTTAAGGAATCCATTATGTCCTTTCTGCTTAGCAAATAACTACATTGAGTCCCAAATATTTCCATTACCTTTACAAGGCCTTCAGTTTCTTCTCTGTAATAAAGAAAATAAATAATAAATATTTGGGAAGGTATAATTCTACAGTATTTGGGAGAATGTTAGACTTAAAAAAATATTTCAGTTATGTAAGATTATAATCAGTATCCATCCATTCATTCATTCTACAATGTTTCGACAAATCCTCTCAGCTCTGGTCACTCTGTTCCAGATATTTCTGCTTTCTAAAATGTTCCCACTTGCTCCATTCTGTTTCCTCCTCTGGCCCAATTCCCATCCACCATTAATGCCAATTCAGCATCCTTCTGCTCTGGGAGCCATCTCTGACTGTAGCAGATCTCAGAGTTCTATGTCTTTTTTATAGCTCCTGTGATGCTCTGTTAACCCTCATTTATATACTGACTTTGTATGAGTGACTATCTTTTCTCTAGAAGTCTACGTAAGTAATTTGACAGTTTCCTTAAATATTGATGATGTAGTCTTTTTCAAAATGCTGTATATCTTGCATTTGACAGATTGTCTCATGCAATGAACTTTTTGATGACAATATTAAAATCCAAAATCTCAGCTGAAATGAAATTCATCTTCCTAGCCTAGGAGTTAAGCAGTAAAAAAATAAAATAAAATAAAAGCCTGGCTTGAAGTTTATTATCAGTCTTTTCACTTCATACTGCCTGGAACATTCATATAAAATAATGCCAAAGTTTTACTGACACTGAGTTGAGAGTGTTGCCTATGGCACTATTCCAGAAGCTGTTGCCCTTCAATGTCTTCCCATGGTTGCTTGCATAGAAAATGATCCTATGCAATGTCTTCCCATCTTTGCTTGCATGTATAAAATGATAGAATGCATAGAATACAGGAGAACAGATGAAGAATTTCATGAGCAGTGGTGATAGGTACAGGTACTCAGGAGGCTACAGACCTCCTAGCCACATGAAGAATGGAAAGAAGCAATAGCCCAGCAATCCTGTAACCCATACACCAGCATGCCATGTCACTTCACATAAAGAAGGCCTACCTACAGGTAGAGTGGGGTACTAGGGGAGGAATAGCAGGGGGTGAGGAGGTTGGGGAGGGATAACATTAAGAGAAATACCTAATGTAAGTGACGGGGGCTGGAGGCAGCAAACCACCATGGCGTATGTATACCTATGTAACAATCCTGTAAGATCTGCACATGTACCCCAGAACTTAAAGTAAAATTGTTTTTAAAAAAAGGAGGCCTACAGGTTTACAGCTTGAGAACACATGAGTGATAGGCAGATCTCTGCCTGTTCTTTAGAATCAACTTTAAATTACAACAAGAGTGATTCTTTGAAATTACCTGCTACTTCATTTCTTAAAATAATTTAAATGAAGAATGATTTTTAAATATTGTGGATAAATTCAATATATCCAGGATAAAATTCTCAAGAGTATAACATTATTCATATTTCAAGTAAATAAAGTGAAAACAAATCACAGAAAAGCAATAATCCCAGTAACTTAGACCACATTTAACATGTATGTAGAAACTGTCTTCAGAGAAATCAGGCTAAAGAGAAAAGACAAGACATATCCTTTAAAAATATAATATAACTAACAGCACAAGATGCCATAGACTAAGTATCAAATGAGTGCTATATGACAAACCTATAGAGGAGAGAATGTGGTCTTCCAGCTGGAGTGAGGAAGCAAGCATTATGGAAAAATTAGATTTGAGCACCACCTTGACTATTGAGTAGAATTTTCAGGGAAAGAAAAGAGGATGAAGCCACTGTAATTAACTAAGAGAGGCATGGATTTGTGTTTCTTCTCTTTTATGAGGCAGATGGAGATTCTTTGTATTCCAGATGATGGCAAAACGTCTCAGGCTCATCTCTCACTGTGTATCAACAGGGTATTTGATTGTTCTTAAAGAGTTTAAAAGGTGAAGGATCAAGGTGTGAAAAAATCAATGTTCATAAGAGTTTTCTCCATTAATGAATCGATGAGAGGCAAAGGAGGGGAAATAAGTGAGAAGAGGTGTTTCTTTTTTCTTGACAAACAGTAAAGTTGAAGATCTTAGCTTCTATGTTGGGGAGAATACATAGAAAGATTATAGGTGAAGTGTTGTAAGGAAGGCTCAGAGGAGCAATCTCCCACTTTCTATAGAACCCTTATGATGGAAGAAGGACAATACAGACTCAATTGTTGGGAATGCAAACCATGACTGCTCTATCCATCCAACCATCCACCTGTCCTCTATTTCTCCATCCCCTCATTTATCCAACCATCCATTCATCTATTCATTCATCCACTCACGCATCATCTATTCCTCCATCTATCCATCACCCACCCATCCATTTCTCTAAATCTCACTCCAAATACCATGCATCTCTCTATTCATTTGTATCACTAAAATAGTGACTCTGGTTCATAGAATAAAAAGAAGTTACCTGCCATCCAAAGCTTTTTCTATGTAGTTATTGAAACGCTCCTTAACTGTTTTTTGATAATCTTCAGGAGGAAACCACCTTATAACTTGGTATGATTTTTCCTTGTCTTTAGTATCTAAGAAAATACCAATTGGTTAGAAAGGTAAATATATCATACAACATGGATTGACATTAATATGATGACATTGAAGTTTTATTCTATTAATTTTACATTTATGGAAATGTTTACTTTTAAAGTTGTGTGTTGATTTGGTTTTGTTTTTCTTTTTTATTCATTCAATTGGACAACCTAATATTTATTGAGACTTGATAATTATATAGGCACTTTTATTGAATTTAAAGTTATAAAAGTTTCCACTTAAAACTTTCATTTAAAGAAACAGCTATTACACTTGTTTTATAAGTAAGACAACAGAGACTAAAGCAGTGTGAGGTTATTTGTCCACTTTGCACACATAATAAGCTATAGGGCTTGTGTTTACATACAGCTAAGGTTGATTTCAGAGCCCATTCTCTTTTCTCTTTTAGAAAAATTCATTTTCATTGCTTAAAATGATACTACAAATAGGTTTTTATTCAGTCAAAAAGTTCTAAAAGGCAAAATAAAAAAAATAGTAGTCCCCTTTATTCTGCTTGCCAGCCCTGCCCCCACTCCCCCCATAATCCATGTGTAGTAAAAAGTCTGACTCCATTCTTGGAGTTTGATTGCTGACTGTTTTCCAGACCCAGCTCCTACTTTACTTTCTGTGCCTCATCTGGGCAAACTGAGAACAAAGCTTCAACTCCTTCTCCCTTGTTACCAATGAGAACTTCAAACCAAGCAAGCCAGGCCAAAGTGGAAGAATTCTCACCTCGATTCAAGTTTCAATCAGAAGTTTCAGTAATTTTCACTGTGAGACAGGAATGACAAACTGGGACCCTCCTTTCAGTGTCTCTGGGTCATGTGACTCAAACCAAAGCTATCTATATGTCTCAGATGGAATTGTGTTTCTCAATTACAGCATGAGCTGTGGCTGACACTAGCTCAGTGGAATAACTCTTACCCTGTGAGCACTGGCTATGTGTCTCAACCAGATATTACCACACACACACACACACACACACACACACACACATCACTGTAAAGAGCACTCAGGGTTAAGACTAACATCAGTGCAATATATGATCCCACTGAATGGTATGAAGAATGGTAGTCATTGTGCGGCATACTCACATCCACACTCCTAAAAATAGATGGTCCACTGGGACCTCAGAAAATGCCTTTGCTACTCCTGTTGATTATATCTGTGTAGCTAAAAATGGTCCTGATAAACAGAGTTACGTGGAAGAGCACCCATACAACACTGTACAGCCAAGGAGTTCATTCAAACCCAATTTAAGACCTGGGTCTCTCAAAATTACCAAAAAGAAAGTCTCTCACCTTGCTGATACTGATGGAAACTCTCTCAGAAAGAAACTTACAAAGATGAGTGTGTTAGAGAGGGCACCCACCCACCACCACCAAAGTATACCTGATAACAACCAAAAAGAGAAAGAGAGAATTAGGTTAGCCAGAAGGGGTGGTGAGGGGAGCAGGTGAGATGCAAGAACAAAATCTAAAACAAAGGTTAAAAAAATTTTTTTTGAGATGGAGTCTTGCTCTGTTGCCCAGGCTGGAGTGCAATGGTGTGATCTCAGCTCACTGCAACCTGCACCTCCCAGGTTCAAGCGATTGTCCTGCCTCAGTCTCCTGAGAGTAGCTGAGATTACAGGCATGCACCACCATGCCTGGCTAATTTTTGTATTTTTAGTAGAGATGGGTTTTCGTCATGTTGGTCGGGCATGTCTCAAACTCCTGACCTTGTGATCCACCCACCTTGGCCTCTCAAAGTGCTTTAAAATTTAATCCTATGGAAATCTAACATTTATTTTTACAGAAAAATTAAAAGGACACTGATTGGCTATTTTCTTTCCACATCATAGGTTCTAGATTAACATCAGATCAGATGCACCAATGTAAACCATAATAGCCTTAATTAACAATGGGGCAAAAGTTGCAGGTAGATCAGAATATTTCATTAAATTTAAGTAATATCACTTCTGTACTCTTGAGGAGTTACCCAATATAATATAGACATTATTATGCATATGTCCCATCTTAAGCATTAGTATTAAATACCTGTATTAGTCTGTTTTCACGCTGCTGATAAAGACATACTTGAGACTGGGTAATTTATACAGGAAAAAGGATTTAATGGACTTATAATTCCACATGACTGAGGAGGCCTCACAGTCATGGCAGAAGGCAAGGAGGAGCAAGTCATGTCTTACTTGGATGGCAACAGGCAAAAAGAGAAAGCTCGTGCAGGGAAACCCCCCCTTATAAAACCATTGGATCTCATGAGACTTATTCACTATCACAAGAACAGCACAGGAAAAACCTGTCCCCATGATTTAATTACCTGCCACCAGGTCCCTCCCACAACAAGTGAGAATTCCAGATACAATTTGGGTGGGGACACAGCCAAACCATATACTCCATAGTCTTAAGACTCATTTCCTAAAATATTCCATTCCATTCTAGGCATGGCTACTCTTATCTAACAATTAATAAACTAACATAAAATTATTTCTTTAGAATTGGCTTGACAAAAAGGGATGCCATGGATCTGATTCAACATATTAAAATTATTAGCACTGTACAAAATAGATTTAAATGGGGCCTTTAAGGATTAAACTCCATTATGAAAGATCTATTTAGAAAAGTGTTGATTGTCTCCATTCTTTCTCCCTTTAAAAGCCCAACCTGAACTATTTTTAAACCTAGCAAGAATTAATGATTCCTCACATTTTACTATAGCCTTAATTCCAGGGCTCATCATATTTAGAACCTCATACCCATGGTTATTAAAAACTTCTTAATATATTTGAATACTAACAAATACTTTGCAATCATATATTTGATAAGTATGCTTCATTTAATGCCTATTTCAACAAGATCTCAGTCAGTTTCCCTTTTTCTTTATCTTTAAAAGGCCATAAATCACCTATAACTGGCAAACTATGGAGTACTTCAATATCCTGACCCACAATAACTGCCAGCAAGACTATCACCATATCCAACTTTCCCCAGGAGCAGTCATGACATTACAATGAGGACATCCTCCTTGGAGGAGACTCATCCAGCACAATTATTCAAGATATACATAGGGTGCACTTATTCAAGACATACTATATATAAACAAATAACTCACAAAAAGGGATGTGTCATTGCCACATACAAAGTAGAAGATGTGGAGGACAGATCCAAGATGGCCGATTAGGAGCAGCTCAGGATTGCAGCTCCCAGAGAAAGTGCAGAGGGTGAGTGGATGCCGCATTTCCAGATGGATTTTTATTGCCCACAGACCAGGAGATTCCCAGGCAGTGGAGACCCACAGGTCACCAGTGCAGCTGTTTCTGCTGGTGCAGGCTGTTTTGGCCAGCACAGCAGTTTTCCACACAAAATACATAGGTCCAGGTGCCATTTTAGCTGCTGATTGGAGCTCCTGGGATACGGAGTCAACCAATCAACTGATAAAAAAAAAGGGGGGACTGAAACAGGGAGCCAGGCCAGGAGATTCCTGGGCAAAGAAGCACCGCGAATCTCAGCACAGCTGTTTCAGCTGACACACTGCATCACTGCACAAGAAATCACACAGATCCTGGTGCCTTTTCAACCGGCGACTGGAACACCTGGAAAACAGAGTCACCCATTCAACTAAAAATAAAAGGGCTCTGAGGCAGGGAGCCAGGTGATCAGGCTTGGCTGGCCCCACCCCCTCACAAAAAAACAACAATCTGAATTGCTCTGGATTGAGAGTTTCACAGCAAGCGCAGCTGAACCTGGGATGGTCAGCTCTGTGGGGGAGGGGCATCTGCCATTACTGAGGCAGTCCACTACTACAGAGAGAGTCTGCCATTATAGAGGTGGGCCACCATTGCCAAGGCAGTTCTAACTATACCCATATAAACAGGACTGCAGGGAAGTTCATATGGCAGCTGGGTGCTCACCAAAGCCTCTGCAGGCAGTAACTGACTAGGCTGTCTCCTGGCTGGGCAGGGCAGCCCTGAAAAAAGGCAGCAGCACAACAGAAACTCATAAATAAAGCCCTAAATCTCCAGGAAAGAGCTCCTGGGAAAACAATAAAAGGGGTTTATGAGTTCTGCTACAACAGACTTAAACATATCTGCCCAGCAGCTCTGAATAAACATGGAGCTCACAGCTCAGCACCTAAGTTCCTACAAAGGACAGACTGTCTCTTCAAGCAGCTCCCTGACCCCTGTATATCCAAAGAGTCACCTCACAAAGGAGCGCTCAGACTGACATCTGGTGGGTATCCTTCTGGGACAAAGATAGCAGAAGAAGAAACTGGCAGAAACCCTTACCATTCTGCAGCAGCTGCAGGTGATCCCCCAGCAAGCAGGACCTGGAGTGGACCTCAGCATTCCTATAGCAGAGGGGCCTGAATGTTAGAAGGAAAACTAAGAAACAGAAAGACATGGTCAACAAACTGGACATCCACTCAGAGACCCAATCTGAAAGTCAACAACTACAAAGATGACAGGTGGATAAATCCACAAAGATGGGAAGAAACCAGTGCAAAAAGGATGAAAACACCCAAAATCAGAACACTTCTCCTCCTACAAGGGATCACACAACTCCTCCCCAGCAAGGGAACAAGGCTGGATGAAGAATGAGTGCAATGAATTGACAGAATCAGGCTTCGGAAGGTGGGTAATAAGAAACTTCTCTGAGCTAAAATAACATGTTCTAACCCAATGCAAATAAACTAAGAACACTTTAAAAAGATTTGAAAAAATGCTAATAAGAATAAACAACTTAGAGAGAAATATAGATGATTTGATGGAGCTGAAAAACACAACACAAGAACTTCACAAAGCATGCACAAGCTTCAAGAGCTGAATTGACCAAGCAGAAGAAACGATATCAGAGGTTGAAGATCAACTCAATAAAATAAAAGGAGAAGGCAAGATTAGAGAAAAAAGTGTAAAAAGGAATGAAGAAAGTCTCCAAGAAATATGGGACTATGTGAAAAGACCTAATCTACATTTGATAGGTGTACCTGAATGTGA